ATCTATCAGTGCTTCTAACTACCTCCCTTACTATTATCAAAGAACTTGTTATTAACTTTTGTAATAAAGCTTATGAAAATAATGGTATTAATTATTTTTGGAGTGTTAAAAATTCTTTAGAGGTTTTAGATAAAATACATGCTTTTGATGGTCCTTTTAATTCTGTTGACAGTTATGATTTTTCTACTCTCTATACTACACTTCCACACAATCTTATCAAGAACAAGTTTTCATATTTAATTAAATGGTCTTTTGAAAAATCTCATTACAAATTTATTTGCTGTGACTCGTTTAAAGCTTTTTTCTGTAACGAAAAAGGAAAGTATGCTAGATACACTTACTGGAAATGTGAAGATATGATTGAAGCTTTAAATTTTCTCCTGGACAACATATATGTACGTTTCGGCGATAAAGTGTATCGACAAGTAGTAGGTATTCCTATGGGCACTAACTGCGCCCCTTTAATAGCAGATTTATTCCTGTATTGCTATGAGTCTCAGTTTATGACCAAACTCGGTAAAGACACGTCATTGTTACATTTGGTTGATACATTCAACAACACCTTCCGTTATCTAGATGATATTTTTTCGTTAAATAATCCAGAGTTCTCTAAATATATTACCGAAATTTACCCAATAGAACTTACTTTAACTAAATCTAACATAAACAGCAGTAGTTGTCCTTTTCTGGATTTGGACATTTCAATCTCTAAAGGAAAACTCCATACGAAAATTTACGACAAAAGAGACGATTTTTCATTCCCTATTGTTAATTTTCCTTTTTTAGACGGCGATGTTCCTTTGGCTCCATCATACGGTGTTTATATATCCCAACTCGTTCGTTATGCCCGTGTGTGTAGTGATGTCATAGATTTTAACGAACGTAATCAATGCATCACTGGTAAATTATTAAATCAGGGATTTCGTTACCATAAATTACGTAAAACTTTTGCTAAGTTCTTTCATAGATACAAAGATTTGATTAGTAAATTTGGCTGTACTTGTAGAAAACTGATTAAAAATGGTATTTCACATCCTAAATTTTACGGTAATATTGTACTTAAAGCGCGGAAATCACTATGTGATCCATGTAAACTCATCGAACCTTTAAACAAACTTATTAGTAAAGGTTATCTTACCAATGTTGTAATTAGATCTTTGAATATAGTTTACATTGGTACTAACATCGATTTTGTCATCAGCAAATTAAAAAATAACTAAATTTGTATTCTTTTCAAACGGGATGTATAAAGACACACCCACGTTCGTTTTGATCTATAAAGAGGTTAAACTCCTAACTATCCTACTGTCTGTCGATACATTTATTTTTGGCATTGCACTAGTCATGTCTTCTTTGACTGTCCGTGACGTTAAAATACTAAATCCCTGGGATGTGTTTTAGTTGATTTTAGTCTCTGATGCATGATTTTTTATTATTGATTGATTTGGCTTTTAACTTGCTGTCAGTAACTGCGAGTACTCTCAAATCGTACTTTCTTGTTTATTTGACCTGTTGATACTAATTGTATTGCTTTTTTGTTATTTAATGTTATTCAGGGTTATATCTGGTCTATATACCAGCTTTTATAAGTGTTTGGTATTACTATTCCCTTAGTTTATTTATTTTGTATTTACATTGTATCATAGGTCAAATTTATTTGTTCAGTGTATGTTCAATGGTGTTAATATGTCCTTTGAATGAGTTAAGCTATTTCAGTTGATATTTTATAGTGTGTCTTTCTATGTTGTGATGTTACACTATTGTTTCAGAAAAAGGGTGAAGGTTTGGTTCCATTAAAACGTTTAAACCCGCTGCATTTGTTTGCACCTGTCCTAAGTCAGGAATCTGATGTTCAGTAGTTGTCGTTTGTTGATGTGGTTCATAAGTGTTTCTCGTTTTTCGTTTTTTATATAAATTAGACCGTTGGTTTTTCTCGTTTGAATGGTTTTACACTAGTAATTTTGGGGGCCCTTTATAGCTTACTGTTCGGTGTGAGCCAAGGCTCCGTGTTGAAGACCGTACTGTGACCTATAATGGTTTACTTTTATAAATTATGACTTGGATGGAGAGTTGTCTCATTGGCACTCATACCACATCTTCTTATATCTATTATTAACAGGTAATGACAAACAGAAACACATGCAGCTGACATGTCATGGCCTCTATTAATTTGGTGATTTCTTTGTATGCTATTTCTTGGTCTTGAAGATTAGCTTCTGTCAAAGTTTTATAACAATCCATGAAGGTTTACAAATTCATCATGTCAAAACAAAATGTAATCGCAGACTGTCTGTAAATGTTAATTGTGAAATACGATGTCCATCTATCAGAAACATAATGAAAATGAAAAAAAAAAAACAATTTCAAAGATTTGCTTAAGACATTATCATTTAATCATTAAAAAGTTTCTGTCAAAGTTTCATAAAACTCTATGAAGGTTTAACAAAGTAATTGATGAGTAACAAACTTTAACCCCAGCCTGTATCTACTTGATACTGTAAAAAACTAAGTCCGTTTATCTGTAAAATACGGAAAAATGAAAATAAATATTTCAAAATTTTGCTCTGGATACTTTCTTTTGGTCATAAACAAGCTTTTATCCAAATTTCAGAAAATTCCATGTAGGTTTAACAAAGTTATTGATGTCTATAAAAACTTTAACAACAGACTAAATCTAAATGTTGACGCCGCCGACGCCGACGACGGAATCCAGGATCGCTATGTCTCGCTTTCGCGAAATAAATTTCGCAGGCTCGACAAAAATAAATAGTATTCATGGACATTACTCAAATTGTTCTAAATATTTAGAGAGATAAAACAAAACATCAGTCATTCGGTTTATACATGGGTGCAATTTGGGTGCTTCTCATTACAGAATCGTGGATCGTTTGGAGATCGGTTTTAATCTATTTTTCTATGGTTTAATATGGATTCAAAATCAAATTGGTGGAAATATATAGAAAATAAGGATATATCAACAAAATAAACACAGACTGAAAACGTTTATCTGGATCAGAAATAAACGTGGGTGAAAAACTGTCAAAATAGGTACAATTTGGGTACCTTCACGTTACTTTACTTAGGAATTACATTTGAGAGGAAGAATTGTTTTTGTGAGGCGGCTTAATTTTTGGGATCGTCACAATGTAGTTCAACCAATCAACGGCAATGTAATTTTGAACAGATCTATTTTTGATGCAGATTTTGGCATACTAAAATGGAAATTATAGAAATGCTTTCAGTAGATATTAAACAGGGAATGATGAACTCTTTTACAAAAGAAGGATTGGATCGGTTTCATACCCTACTCTTGAAACATCTCGAGTTATTTTCCGAAAATACTTCTAATAAATATATTTACCTAATATAACATAAATACAATATATTTTTGTCAGCTGTAACTATTTTAAAGATTCAAAGATTTTGAAAGTTACCTTGCTGGTATCATATAACAAAAAGATCAGTGGTTCTATGTAATCAGTATATTCAAGAGGACGTATACAACCATTACCATTACCATTCCACGGGTTAGAGGATGATTGAGCGTTCACACGCATGTTTAACCCCGCAACTTTCTTTATGTGCCTGTCCCAAGTCATAGAAATAAGAAGCTCCATCCAAATCACAAGTGTAAAAAGTAAACAATTATAGGTCAAAGTACGGCCTTCAACACGGAGCCTAGTTGTTTTTCGTAAATTGTATTGTATAAATTTGGCCGTTAGTTTTCTGGTTTGAATTGCTTCTAATTTTCATGTCGGGACCTTTCATAGCCGACTATATGGTATGGGTTTTCTTATTGATGGAGGCCATACGGTGACTTATGATTGTTTTTGTCTCCATCATTTGAACTCTGGTGGCTGTCTCATTGGCAATCATACGTATACCACGTCTATTTTTATACTAATCACTTCCTTTACAATAATAAATTCACCTGATACCAAACTAATGTCTATTACTTTATAAATCTTTACAAAGGGAATTTTGAAATACTTTCACTTTCATTAAAACAAAATTAAATCATGAATAAAATATTTGTTCCTCTTTCCATGGTGCATTATTCATGTAGTAAACAAACACCAAATACAGGAATCTGATGTACAGTAGTTGTCGTTTGTTGATGTGGTTCATAAGTGTTTCTCGTTTCTCGTTTTTTATATAGATTAGACCGTTGGTTTTCCCGTCTAAATGGTTTTACACTAGTAATTTTTGGGGCCCTTTATAGCTTACTGTTCGGTGTGAGCCAAGGCTCCGTGTTGAAGACCGTACTGTGACCTATAATGGTTTACTTTTATAAATTTTGACTTGGATGGAGAGTTGTCTCATTGGCACTCATACCACATCTTCTTATATCTATTTATATTTACATTGTTAACATTTAATTTCATAGAAAAATGATAACAAAAAAAATTATAATAAAAAAAACAACGTTTTCCGTTCAAATTTTATTTTGTGTTCAGAAATATGACGCATTGCTGTCAGTCACAATCTAAAGCCGTGATAGTTCTTAATAAAGTAAGGTTCATGTAATTTCTGATATTGACCCTGCTATAGTACAATAAATATATATATAGAAAATTGACCTAACATAACAAAGCTATAACAAACCAGTACAAAAGAACTCTCGATTCCAGACTTGAAGTAGTCTCGCGGGCCACATGTAATGACATCTACCTAGTAATAGTAATAGTAAATACACCATTATAAGATATCAATACTAGTTTAAAGCACCAAATGGATCGAGATCGTTCTGAATTTAAATTTCAAAGAGAACATCATGGAGGCTGGTTATGACTCCGGTTTTTACCCGATTAAACTTTGAAATATCATCAGAGTGATTAGGTTTTACATTTATATTCAAAAGGAACATAAACAAAGACACCCATTAGGATCTTCTCTGCTATTTACAATATTAATTGAAATAAAGATTCATTAATTGTAGTACATCAATTTTAATCAATACTGGTATTTGTTTCCACAATAATCCATAGCGCAGCTAACGACGTCCCTAAATATCCATAGCAAATAATTTTCTATAGCTTTAAAACCAGAATAATCACGTCGTATTATACTGGGTTTACACTGTGATAACTAGACATACACACCTTAACCTAACCAAGGTAAGTCTCATGTAACTGTGGTATTAACTTTACCAATTTGCTTAATATTACATGTATAAAAGGGTTTGCTACTTTTGGTAATTGATTGAATTCATTTTGCTTCAGAGGAACTAGTATCGATTGACCTGGTGATTGTCCCTGTAGGGTTGTAAGTTTTGTTTTGTCGAAATACCTAATTTAATGTAAATGTTAGACGATGTTCTACATTTGGGTTATATCAGTCCTATACCATACGACTTCGTATTCTGTTTCTATTTCTAACATTTTCATGCTGAAAGTTTGAAGTAAAGCAAAATAAAAATAAAAATAAAAAATGAAATAGAAAATAGCAAAATTAAAAAATGAATAAAAGGAAAATATCAGAAAACAAACAGACAAGGCTCCGTGTTGAAGGCCGTACTTTGACCTATAATTGTTAACTTTTTATACATTGTGACTTGGATGGAGAGTTGTCTCATTGGCACTCATACCACATCTTCTTATTTATAGATACAGGAAATATCGCCCGAGGTCTTACGTTATAGGACTAGGGTAATATGAAAGCATTCATTACAAATTGTGGAATTTGCATTTGGTAGAATAATTTAAAATCTGGCTTTTGTTATAATATTGTTATATTTAAAAGAACTATAAAGAAACCTGGGGTGGTGTTCTCGAAAGTATCATAAGATTCGTCCTAAGTCATAGATAAGACCAATTTTAGGATGGACTTAGGATCATCTTAGGACACTCTAATTTGTGTCTCGAAGCTATCTCAGACGCATCTTATATTAGGACGTCCTCAACATATCCTATGTGCGAAATTTTAAGTAGTTAAAATAATTGTTTGATAAAACATTTATTAAAGACGAAACCAATTAATAAAACTGTTTACGAAATTTTAAAATTACATGTATTTAATTAAATGCATGATTTCAAATGTAATTATAAAATAATATCAAAAAGGATTGTGATTTAAACTGGAAAACAATTTGTTTGGAAATGAAAATATTGAATTCGTAGTGTCATCGTATCGTAAAACACGAAGTTCAAAGTTTAAAATCATGTACAAATTCTTTAAACGAGTTAATAACCGATGGTGCGTTTCATTTCATGTTTATTTTCACGTAAAAAATTGAGAAAAAAGCATGCACAAAGTTAGGATGAAGATATGATGATCTAAGACACATAATTAGGTGTCCTAAAGTTAGGACGAAAAATGTGATATATCCTAAGTTAAAAGAGCTTCGAGAACACGACTTAGGACAAAGACTTGTCATAAGATGTTCTTAGGACACGTCCTTATCCTAAGATAGCTTCGAGAACACCACACCTGAACCTTATTGTTTATAAGTACATTAAATTTAAAGTTGATGGATTGGTGATTCTGAATTCAAGGGAACTGAAAAACAACACAAAAATTGTTATACAAAATAAAAAAAAATGCCAGTTATATGCATGATAAACAAGCGTTATAAAAATAAGGAGATGGAGGTATGATTGCCAATGAGACAACTATCCACCAAAGCTACAAACGAAGTGTTGTTCACTACAGTAACATGTTCAATATCACACACCAGAATATAAAATTGAGGGGGTGGACAGGGGGTACCCTTCTCCAACCTCCCGCCCCATATCTCCCACCTCCCACTTTTAGAATCTTTTTTTCTCTCCCACCTATTTTTTGTCTCCCACCTCCCACCTCCCTCAAAAGCTGTCCACCCCCTCAAAAGTAGGAGATGCGGTAATATTACAAAACAGTACAGGAAGAAGCGATCTGATATACTAGTATGCAAGATTGAAGTGTCATTTTGTACAGCAATGATATAATAATACCGACCAACACAGCAGCAGAGTATGTGAAATATAGTAGTACATCTAACAATGAATATGTATACTTTGGACGACAACAATAATGCACTTTAAACATCTTTTCTTCAAAATCCCAGTGCTTTTTCTAATTTTAGCAGGCGTATATTTTCTATCGTTAATGAAGTAAAACATTCCGGAAGATCGGAAAGTATCAGAAGGAAACCATGCAAGAAAACTGAATGTTTAATAGGCTTTGATGTTTTTCCAAATTTTAAAAACATCAAAAGAATAAAAAAAGGTAATCCAGTCGAAGTTCAGTTGAAGGCAATTTTGTTTGAAAGTCCAGCAAATTTTGTATTGCCAGACATCTGGAACCAAACCGAATTAAATTGGAATGACAAATAAACAACTAATCCTGTTTCGATTTTATCAATTTATGAGATAACAACTAAATATCTACCAAAATGTCAGAAACAGAAGTGTGCCGTATGTATGTGTTCAAAAATACGATTATATCAGAACATTGATGTACATTATAAGGGTCTGGATGGGGGTTCTTGATTCTTGAATTCTTTAGAGTATTTTTCTCTGTTCTTTATTTACTTTGTCCATTTTCGAGGCTGTAACAACATTATGACGGTTTTTTTTAACAAGAAAACAAATGATAAAGGCATAAAGATGGTTATAAACTGAAATTTAGATATGTTTTAGCACAGTCTATCTATTTTCCCAAAGAATGAATAAGAAGATTTTTTACATTTACAAAAAACAAAGTTCTATTGAAATTAAAGCAATACAAGTTTAACCTTTCAAAAAAGGTATGGAGTGCTTAGCCGTATCATAAATTAACATGATTTTGTGTTTATTTATATAAATATTTTTGTAATACTTTTATATGGGTTTCAGTTTCATTATTATTTGTAATTTGATATAAAATGCGACATTTGCCAACAGGGAAATGCTTCGTTTTTAGTGTCATGAATAATGGACCGCGAAAGGAAAATGTAACTTTTTGTTTCTTTTGTTACCTATTCTGACATCGGACTCGGACTTCTTTTGAACTGAGTTTTACTGTGCGTATCACTATGTGTTTCTTTATTATACATTGGCTAGAGGTATAGGGGGAGGGTTGAGATCTCATAAAACATGTTTAACCCCGCCGCATTTTTGCGCCTGTCCCATGTCAGCCGGGAGCCACTGGCCTTTGTTAGTCTTGTATGTTTTTTAATTTTAGTTCATTTATATGTTTTGGAGTTTAGTGTGACGTCCATTTTCACTGAAGTAGTACACTATTTTATTTAGGGGCCAGCTGAGGACCACCTCCGGGTGCGGGATATTCTAGCTGCGTTGAAGACCCATTGGTGGCCTTCGGCTGTTGTCTGTTCTTTGATCGGGTTGTTGTCTCTTTGACATATTCCCCATTTCCATTCGCAATATTAACAATAAAATTAATACTTAACACTATCAAAGTACATGCATTCATTAGACGAAGAGGGTTATATTCGGATATCCTTGATTAGACTGATATGCGATACTGTTAATTCAGACTGAACATTTTTACTATCTTTAATGAATTAAATTTATTCTGTCAGGTACAAGAGAATTCGTAGTTTCGACTTCATCACAGCGAGAGCAACACATTAACTGATGCTTACATTTTACCATGTTCCGTTACATTTTACCATGTTCCGAGGGTTACACCTACAAAATGGACTTTATATACATGTGTATTGATTGTTTTGTTGTACTGTTTTTTTTTGTAAATTTCGTTTTAGACTCATAATTTCCAAATTGAATAAAGTGATAGTTATAAATATCTAACAAATACATATTGGTCAGTATCGAGTAAACGGACCATTGAACAGAGGTATCAATCTTCGTATATTTTATAATATTAAATATATCAATTTTGACTGTAAGCGTATCCAAAAACATGTGATCCTATAGCAACATATTTATCGATTATGTCTCGAATACCCATACTGTCAGACAATCCGTGTATAAGTTCTGCTTCCCTTCTTGACGTGTTTCCAGTTTTATTACTCATTCAAGCCAATATAATATTATCGGCCACACCAATAAGCAACCAATCAGGATTGAATGTTGTTTAGTTTTTTTTTTCAAGATGGCGTATATATCGACTGTAAAGCTACACACCATGATTAACCTTCATTATATAAATCAGTTGATTTAATTACTGAAATATGTCCCATGATTAAAATTTTCACAGAAACTTTTGTATATCATATGCCAAAGACAATGAATGAGACAACTCTCCACCATGCAGAGACCAGATGACGTATATGTGAGCAACTATTGGTCACCGTACGGCCTTCAACAATGAGCAAAACCTATACTGCATAGTAAGCTATATCCGATTGTGACCCTGTGAGTAAACCGACTTTATAGAAAATTGGTCATACCGCTCATTCTTTTTATACCTTTGTTCATTAAATGCATATACAACGTTTTACTGAAATATGTAACGCCATTGTCTTTTCTGAAATAAAGTTAAAATGAAAAATAACAGTCATATTTTCATTACAATGGTATTGTATACAAAGAAATTCGTTGTTTAATAGTTGACAAAGATGTTTGTAAGGCCAATTAAAATTAATTGATAGATTTTCATCCCCGCCCGCCCCTCTGAAATCGTCCCGCCCCGATTTTTTTTATTTTTAAAAATTTACGATTTCCGGGTTTTGTTCATTTCCGTTACCGGAAACCACCGATAATTTCGTTTCGTTCATAACTTCCTGTAGCAAATTTCGGTTTTCGTATTTCTTCGAGTAATTTAACCAAAATGATTAAGTCGAAATATTCTGCTGCTCTATGATGACAGCATTATCTTCCGAGAAAAGAGATTGCTTACGAGAAGGGCATGAAATATTCGGGTTACGAGTGACAGGCGGTGTCCAAGAACGCAAATCGCGGTCAGTGATTAGAAACCTGTGGATTTTTTTATTTATACAATGACTTTGTGTCAGGAAATTTGGACTGTGAATGATATCTAAAGCACAAGAATCGTGGAATACATTGCTACAATAAAAAACATGACTGGGATAAAGAAATTGACACAAGCACGAACTTGTGCGATCTAAGACCATATATTGAGTACAAAAAAGTCTGCCAATGTAATGCTATGTCTTAAAACTTTTCCAGATACACAGGGTTATCTGTACTCGGAGTAAATTTTGAGGTGAAAATGCAGCCATTGTAGCCAAAGGGTCCACATGAACCTTAAAAGCATAAACCATAGTATTTGCAACATAGTTTGAGTTTTAATTTCACTCTGTACTCATAATACTTGTAATGGGCACTACAAAGTACTACTTAGAAAGCAAAATAAATTTGATGTAGGTAGTCTAAAAGAGAACATTTCTCCACCTTTTTGCTATTTACTAAAAATTGGTTTCTAAAGTGGCAATCACATGTAGAACAGTGGTTGCCAATCCGAAATCTTTATTAAGAATTTGAAAAATTATGTAGAATTCCTTATATATACATGATATAAGCTTAATATTACCCTTGCATATGAACAGTCTGATTGAAACCAGCCCCCAATATCTACAAAGGCAAATGGAAAGTGGGGGCTGGTTTTAATTAGACTGGCATATGAAGAACACGTCACAAAAGGGTTTCGGAGGAAATAAAAATTAAAAAATAAAATCCTCCCACCCGCCCCATTTTTTTCAAAAATTTGGATGAAAATCTACTAATTAATTTTAGTTGGCCTAATATTGATTGATCTTTTCAATTTGTATGCTACATATTTGTATATATATTTTCATTATAGTAGCGATGAGATCTAGTTTATCTATAATAACTCTGATCATTTGTAGATTAATTAAAGACGCTACCGATTAACTGTCTACATCTATACGATGGAAAGTAACAAGGGTGAGTTCTTTATTTCCGTTTTATAAATAGAATGAAAGCAACCGATTATTGCTAGTAAAGGTGCCTTCCGCTATAAATATGTGTCAGAAAGTTAATATTATATACACAGCATACACATTTTTTTTTATGTTTCAAAAACACACTAAGATCTTAAGATCAAACAGATGTGACATTTGTATGCATGATTTCATAATCAGAAGTATGGTGTAGAATTACTTTCAATATGCATAAATGATAGAAGGCCGAATACGGAAATGGAGCATTGGCCTAGCTTACTCTCAGGCATATTAAGCGTTGTGGCGGGAGTCCAAATATTTGTAAGGGACTCAATCCTTTCCCCTTCTAAACTGGTATACTTGACCATAGATGAAAGGTTTTTGTCACATTAAATTTGGCTTATAGATACATACATGCAAATCATTACAAAGATGAAAATATGACCGAAAAAGAAATTCTTCCTTCCTACTGGCAAATAAACTTTTAAAAAAAGAAAAATAATTGCACTTTTTTTTCGATCCTAGGAGAACATTATTACACAGATGAAAATATGACCGAAAAAGAAATTATTCCTTCCTACTGGCAAAAAAACTTTTAAGAAAAGAAAAATAATTGTACTTTTTTTAGATCCTAGGAGAACATTTGGATCTTAACAGATTACAAATGCATGTTCAATGATAAACCATAATTATCAATGATATTCAGACTATTTTGTTTCATGCTATTGCTTAAAATATAGGCTAATAAATTGTTTACTCTTAGTAGGTCCGGATTCTCGGCAAGTTAGTGACGACGGACCCGGATGTTGTGGGTGTATTTTGATGGGACTATCGTATTTTATAGTGGGCATATTTTTCCCATTTTCTTTGGCTATGTGCATAAAGGTAGGCATATTTTCAATACAAATATTACGTGTTTTCTTCATAGTATAGCATCATAATTTCATTGTGCGCTCTAATTGGTAACCAAAGCCGCAGTCAACTTTAACAATATATAGAATAAATTTTATAAAAATTTAAAAAGATAAGTCAGATTTTTAAGCAGGCTGCATTTCCCCTTATCCCAGTTCCAATTAATTATGTATAAACATGGATGTAATACTATATTCTCAGGTGCAAATTTCCTTTGAAATCTGCTGGTGGTGCATGCAGTAAATATTTATTGAACAGTTTTGAGTAAAAGCTTCTTTTTTAACGAACAAATCAATAATATATAAATACGGTAGTTTATCTTATAATATACATATCGGTTGGTTTGTAGTGGTGCTTGATGGATTGATTAGTGCTAAACACCATTTTCAGCACTATTTGGCTATTTTGTGGCGGTTAGTTTTTATCAGTGGAATGAGTCCGAGAGGCCGGAGAAAACCACAGACCTTCGGCGGGAAAACTTACAATCCTATTCATGCACTTAAGATTGGAAATGAACGCACCTGCCACAGACCTTCGGCGGGAAAACTTACAATCCTAGTCAAGCACTTAAGATTGGAAACGAACGCACCTGCCACAGACATTCGGCGGGAAAACTTACAATCCTAGTCAAGCACTTAAGATTGGAAACGAACGCACCTGCCACAGACCTTCGGCAGGAAAACTTACAATCCTAGTCAGGCACTTAAGATTGGAAACGAACGCACCTGCCACAGACCTTCGGCGGGAAAACTTACAATCCTAGTCATGCAGTTAAGATTGGAAACGAACGCACTTGCCACAAACCTTCGGCGTGAAAACTTACAATCCTAGTCATGCACTTTAGATTGAAAACGAACGCACCTGCCACAGACCTTCGGCAGAAAAACTTTCAATCCTAGTCATGCACTTAAGATTGGAAACGAACGCTCCTGGCACAGACCTTCGGCGGGAAAACTTACAATCCTAGTCATGTACTTAAGATTGGAAACGAACGCACCTGCCACAGACCTTCGGCGGTAAAACTTACAATCCTAGTCATGTACTTAAGATTGGAAACGAACGCACCTGCCACAGACCTTCGGCGGTAAAAATTACAATCCTAGTCATGTACTTAAGATTGGAAACGAACGCACCTGTCACAGACCTTCGGCAGGAAAACTTACAATCCTAGTCATGCACTTAAGATTGGAAACGAACGCACCTGCCACGTACAGACCTTCGGCGGGAAAACTTTCAATCCTAGTCATGCACTTAAGATTGGAAACGAACGCACCTGCCACAGACCTTCGGCGGGAAAACTTACAATCCTAGTCATGCACTTAAGATTGGAAACGAACGCACCTGCCACAGACCTTCGGCGGGAAAACTTATAATCCTAGTCATGCACTTAAGATTGGAAACGAACGCACCTACCACAGACCTTCGGCGGGAAAACTTACAATCCTAGTCATGCACTTAAGATTGGAAACGAACGCACCTGCCACAGACCTTCGGCGGGAACGCACCTGCCACGTTCAGGATTCGAACTCACAACCTCAGTGTTGACAAGCTAGTGATACTATAGTTGAACACATTCTCAACATCAACATGTCAGGTCAGCGTCTTCTCTGGTACGGTTTGTTTACAAAAGTGGCAATTAAACCCATCATGTGACATGTGTGATGGTATCTTTTTCCTAAGTTTCGAAAAAAACCTGTTCGAACCGATTAAGGGTTTGAATTTTTTTTAGTCATATTGAAAATGGATAGTTACTGTAAGTTATTTAACATCTTGAATTTGCCTCAATTTTGGGCGATAAAAATAAGAAGAAAAAAACAAGTTATTGGATTATTTCTATAACAATGTAAAATAAAAAAAAATCATAATTTAAAAAAAAAAAATCCTCTTCAGACATAATATCTAAAATTTATTACAAATGTTCAGTCAACAATCAAAAAAGTAATCCGATATTCCAAAAGCAAGTGGGTTTGTGGTTTAAAAATGATTTGCACGACCAGAGAACGATTGTTGGATAGCCTCTTTTTACTTTTTAGGTCACTTTCTTTCAAAAAGTTGTACTTACAGACTTGAAAGCGGATTACAGTTTATATATTGCAGTTCCTTATATTTATATCAGAGGAATGCTACAGAAATTATGATACAAGAGCCCACTTCCTTACGGACAAAATATATAAATCCATGCCCTCCTTATCCTCCCCCTTTTTGAAAAACTGGATCAGCTCAGCCACTGACAAAATTGTAAATTACATTCTAATTTTTGGATAAGAACAATAAATATGTCCATTTGTACAAGGTTACTATTCTAACTAATATTAATTAATAATTAAATAATTTTTGATTCCAGATTGTTCAAGAGTATGAAAGAGCTGTAATATTCCGGCTAGGTCGTGTCCTCCCTGGAGGAGCAAAAGGACCAGGTAAGTAAAACGAGTTTTCTTAATCAACACTTTATGCGGTATGGGCTTTGCTCATTGTTGAAGGCCGTACGGTGACCTATAGTTTTAATTTCTGTGTCATTTGGTCTCTTGTGAAGAGTTGTCTCATTGGCAATCATACCACATCTTCTTTTTTTTTTACTTTATGTCTTTGACATTTTTTTTTCTTTTGGACATGATGTTAAGTTTCTCCTTTTTTTAATGACAAAGACCCGTCTCGTTCTCTACACTCGACGTTCTTTGTATGTATTAAAGCCGTGCCTCTTCTCCCGAATGACTGAACCAAATGAAACAAAACTCAATTGGCAGATACAATTCTGTAAATCAACGATTTCACAGAACTTTATGAAATTTTTCAAGCCACAAGAACATGTGGAACTGCAAATGAACATCAAAACAAATTTATAATTGACTTTGATACTTTCGGAGATATAGCAAATTGAATATCCCGTAGAAAGAAGAACAAATGTATAGAATGCACGTACACATATTGCAAAAAATATTGAATATTATGACTATAAACTGTCTTTTCTCAGAAGCCTGTCATACGAACTTTCCTGAAAAATTATATGCTATTGAGGAAAATCGATAGTATATTTTTCCCCATTGGCGACAATACTAACTTTTTGTAAATTTACTTCTTTTTATAATAAAAAAAACCAGGACGGAACCGGTATGCGTTTTATTAGTACACCATTATTCTGTTTTAGAAATTGAAGTCAATTGGTGTCATTACCATCTTCCTAGGGAGCTTAACTCAATTGAGTCCGTAGTTCTGCAGCTATTTTTTTTTAAAATAATTAAATATTTCTTTGTCTTGTATCTAAGGGAGCTACCATTTGATTTTCATGGGGGGCTAGGATGAAAAATTTTGTCCTGCATTTTATTTTAGTTGTAATCTCTGTCCTGCCTTTTTATTTTTCACTCTATTCGGTCCTGCCTTTTTTTTTTTTTAGTTTATCCTGACTTTTTTACATAAACTATCATCATGCCTTTTTTTTTTTGCCAAGTTGCTCATCCTGCCTTTTTCTACTCAAAAGTCCTGTTCTGCCTTTTTTTTCCAATTTCATCCTAGCCCTCCCCCCCCCCCCCCCCCCCCCCCCCATAAAAATCAAATGGTAGCTCCCTAATTGAGTAAATGTCAACTAACTCATGCTTTTGCAGGGATGTTCTTCATTTTGCCATGTCTGGATGATTTTAAGAAAATTGACATGCGTACAGTTGCTAACGACGTCCCCCCTCAGGAGGTAGGAGTTAAACTTATCAAACACTGATTTGGATTTCACAGATAAATCTAAAACACATTTACACGCCATGTTTTCAACATGTATTAAAAAAATATGTTTTCTCAATTTTCTTACACAAAGTACAATAACGAATTTAAAATATATTAATCTATATTAGAATTTCAATTTCCATGGACATTGTTTGATATAGTAAAGAACAGTATTATCAATTATCTTATAACGTTATTCCCTGCATTTAATTTTCTATTTTTGCCTTGGGAACGACGAGGAGCTTCCTTAGAAAGTTAACTTTTACACTTTAATCATGGAAATGGTTTTAAAAACAAAAAATATTCTTTGAGAACAAAGACAACACATATCATGATACAAAGGGCCTCGGTGGCCGAGTGGTCTAAGTAGTTACTACTGTAATCACTAGCCAGTCAACACTGAGGTTGTGAGTTCGAACCCCGCTCGTGCGGGTGCACTCGACTCCAAAATTAATTGACTAGGATTGTCAGTTTTCCTATCGAAGGTCGGTGGTTTTCTCCGGGCACTCCGGCTTCCTCCACCAATAAAAACTGGCCGCCACGAAATAGCCCAAAAGCGGTGCTTAAAAGTGGCGTTAAAACACCAAAAATCAATCAATCAATATAATACAAGAATGCAGGCAATCCAGGTACTACAAGACAGAAACAAATGTAGCGAAATGTTTCTTACAGCATCAATCTACAATACCTATAGAATACCCAGTCTGACCTTTTTAAAGTATCCATGACTTGAAAAACATTATTGTCCTCATTAAATCAAGTGGTTGCTCTCTCTCACTACTATTTGAAGATATTTGAATTGTAGATTTTAACTAAAGATTCCGTGACTGTAGCAGTTGATGCAGTAATTTACAGCAGCATATATGATCCCACCATGTCTGTTATTAATGTTGAAAACGCTGACGCCTCTACCAGGTTACTAGCAGCAACGACATTGAGGAATGTCCTAGGTACAAAAAATATGTCGGAAATTTTAAGCGACAGAGACAGTATTGCACATGAAATGAAGGTACGAAAATTATAGAAAAGCAAAAGTGTGTAATCTTTCGTGTTTTTTTACCGGTTTCTATTTGAACGATTTTAAATATTACCAAAAATGATTTTAAATCCAATGGGAAATTTTCATTGTATTGTTTCATTTACGGGGGTGACACGATCTGAAAAATAAAGAAACTTAGTGGAATGTTTTGATATCAAAGTATACATATAACAAACTTAGAACTATATACTAATAATAAATAAATTTTTACAAATTTCCATAATATAAATATGTAATTTAGTTATGTACATTGCTTTTAAAAGACAACATGGCAAATTTTAAATGTTTTATCTGAAGAAAAGGAGATGTTTTTTTTTTAATATTTTTTTTTAATTGATTGATTGATTAATTGTTGTTTTTATCCATCTGTCCACACCATAGAATTAGTAAAATGATGACACGAGGTAATGAAATATCCCATGTGGAAGAAGAACGAAAAAGAAAAAAAAAACACGACCGAAAGAAAATGACGTATAAACAACGTAAACAACTAACAATTAACAGTCAACACAATATTAAATCGTCCAAAGGCACAACGATATTAGTTCATAAAATGCAATAAATACACCGTCTGTACGTTTGCTGAATTTAATTTCAAACTCACATAAATAAAATCTTTTCTTTTATTACAAACACCAACTGAACCGTAAAAGCTTAAACGCTTTATTCTTTGAATACATTATATTTTATTCTTTAGTCTCTCTTAGACCAAGCTACTGATCCATGGGGTATAAGGGTTGAACGTGTTGAAATGTGAGTAGAGTTTCTTAAACTAATTACATATTAGCAGACAATGGAAATATTAAGGTGATTCTAAATTTTCATGTATATGCATGCAGTTTTCTTAAATAATAAAACATTCTCTTAACTCTTGAGAATGCTTATAATGAAGCATTTTTGTAAAAAAAATTCATTTAAGACGATAGCAAAAAATACCAAGAATATATTAGAAATCTCATGCACAAGAGACATAAAAATACCACAACCACAGATAAACTGTTATCACAGAGATATGTCTCGCCTTTTTGTAATTTTGATAATGCAAATGTTGAAATTAAAATAGCAATACTTTAACATGTAAGTTATGCAAATATTCAAAGTCGATGAACCATGACTGAAGGTACATGGCTAAACAATCTCCATGGAATGAGATGTGCCAATGCTAATACAACTGCATACCAAATACCATTGACTTATTATAAGTTGTTCCCTTTAAACAAACCTAAACACAAACATTAACTTGTAAACTATGTAAATGTTTCAAAGTCAATGAATCATGATCAGGGGTGGGGCTATATAATCTCCATGGAAACGATATTTGCAAATGCCAATACATTTGCATACCAAATATCATTGACTTAACATTAGCAGTTCATCTTAAACTGATCTAATCACAAACTAATACATGTAAACTAAGCAAAAGTTTCAGTCAATAGACCATGACTGAGGGGGCGGGGCCAAATATTCTCCATGGAAATGAGATGTGCTAATGCTTATACAACTGAACACAAATTAACATTGGCCTACCACTAATGGTTCCCCTTGAACTGACCTAATCACAAATGAGATGTGCTAATGCTTATACAACTGAACACAAATTAACATTGGCCTACCACTAATGGTTCCCCTTGAACTGACCTAATCACAAACTAATACATGTTAACTTAGCAAAATTTTCAAAGTCAATAGACCATGACTAAGGGGGCGGAGCCATATAATCTCCATGGAAATGAGATATGCCAATGCTTATACAACTGCATACCAAATATCATTGACCTACCACTAGTGGTCCCCCATAAATTGACCTAATCACAAACTAATACATGTTAACTATGAAAAGTTTCAAAGTCAATAGACCCTGACTGAGGGGGCGGGGCCAAATAATCTCCATGGCAATGAGATGTGCCAATGCTAATACAACTGCATACTAAATATCATTGACCTACCACTAGAGGTTCCCCATAAATTGACCTAATCACAAACTAATACATGTAAACTATGAAAAGTTTCAAAGTCAATAGACCTTGACTGAGGGGGCGGGGCCAAATAATCTTCATGGTAATGAGATGTGCCAATGCTAATACAACTGCATACCAAATATCATTGACCTACCACTAGTGGATCACCATGAACTAGACCTAATCACAAACTGATACATTGTTGACGCCGTCGCCGTCGCCGACGCCGGAAACAGCATATCTATGTCTCGCTTTTTGACTCCGTCAAGGCGAGACAAAAACGACGACAAGACAAACAATAGTCAACGGAACATTTAATAGTCTAAAGGTTCAAAAATGTCCCCCCCCCCCCCAAAAAAAAAAGAAAATATATAAACTGTCTATGTTTACTGAATTCGTTTATTCTTTTATAATATACACCAACTAAACTACCAAAAAAATTGTTTTAGATATAGAATTCCCTTGCATGCACAGTAATCATACATTTTATTAACAGTAAAGATGTCCGGCTTCCAATGCAACTACAAAGAGCCATGGCGGCTGAAGCAGAAGCATCAAGAGAAGCTCGAGCGAAGGTACGTAGTAATTAGAATTGAGTATTTGACACAACTTATAAAGCTGTAAGGCTCTTTATGTGTTGTAAATAACAAATGACACCAGCAGACATCTTATGGGAAGCAAATGAAAAGGTATACGAAGAGGATAGAGGAGCAAAATATATTTCAATTTTGTGTATACAATAGTTTTATGGATTTCGTATAGCCTTCTTATCCGTGAACATAAATGCGTGAAAGCATGAGCAGGAAATTTTGTTTTAATTATAAGAAGTATTAACAAAAATACCGAACTCCAAGGTAAATTCCAAAAGGGGAAGTCCATAAAACTTGACAAAACCAAACGCTCGACTATATCAACCAACGGAACTAATAGAAAACAACTGTCATATTCCTGACTTGGTACAGGTATTTACCGAAGAAAATGGTCGATTACACATGGTTTTATAGCTAGCGAAACCTCCCACTTGTATGACAGTTATTTATAGTTCCGATATATTGACAAAATTGGGAACAACCGAAAACAGATATAATAGGTTAACGTGACAATGATTGGGATCCAGCAGCTAAAAATGTGTAAATTGCAACACAACGGACTTAAAAAATCAAACAAACTATAGAATAAATCTGACAAAAACGCTAACAAAAAGCTGTTTTGAAGTTGATAGTACATACATATAAGACATTTATACATGCTTGAATAGACTATGCATAAGTCAATGAATCCTATCTAAATCTGCTGAACTGGTTGCATGATTTAAAAACCATCCAAGTTATATTTTATTCTTATACAGGTTATAGCAGCGGAGGGAGAACAACATGCATCACGTGCTTTGAAGGAAGCAGCCGACATCATGGCCTCCAGTCCGGCCGCTATCCAACTTCGATACCTCCAGACACTAAGCACGATATCATCTGAGAAGAATTCTACCATTATTTTCCCGCTTCCAATCGACTTGCTAGCGGCGTTTGCAAAGAAATGAATTAATATCTATCAATAACAATAATGACTAAGCTTTAAAGGGAAATCCTCTGAGATTCTGTATCTGCTCAATAAATCCACCCTTTTCATATTTAGTCATTGGTAAATTGATCACAATATATCAATGCATAATAATCAAAGTACTATCTTTCCGATCTAATATCAAAGAGCAATATTTTTTTCTTCAAATAAGTATGAGATTCTATTGAAGAATCATATTGGATTTTAAAAACATTAACTATGTTTATATTTGATCATAATCAAAGTTTTGGCCATGCGGAGAACATAACGATTATATAAGTGTAGCTGTTTGCTTATGTTCGGAGGACTCGGCGATACAAGAGGACCTATATGTATTGTGTAGTCAACCACCATACACAGGACGGAACCTGCTGCATTGTTAACGTCCAAGGGCCCTATCATTAAAACAACAAAAAGCGATTAGTGTGTTCCGTTATAATTACTGTGATGTACTGCAGTTATTGTGAACTTTTACTTCTATTTTTAAAATTGAGGGCATCTTTATCTTTTATAATTCGTTAATTCCATGACTTCCGATCAGTATCATTTTACGATATATATGGTCACAAGCAGAAGCTTCTCTCGTGGAAAGAAGTATATAATTTGCCTATTTCAGAAAGACAATTGAAACATAATGTTTTTATTTGAGATCACGAAATTTAAATAAAAAATGTCTTGTCGTCTTATTGTTCATTTCGTATATCAAAATCAAATAGTTTTCAGCATATCGATGAAAATGGAGAAATACTGTAAAAACAAAGTAATTGCACGAAACACGCTTCATCTCTAATTGAAAATTAAATTTTCACGACTAAAAGCTATTTTAAGTATTGATTTTACCATAAACGAATGACAAATTTGTCTTTGATTTTAAAGTTACAGAGTTTAACAATAAACATTAAATTTACCTGGACTCAAATCGCGACAAGAAGCATTCTCAATAAAGACAAAATCACGTTACGTTTAAAAAATCAAATTTCTAAGACTTTTGGAAATATTTCTCAAAATTTGATTCATATTTGATTTTTCGGGGAAATATCGCTGCTCACGATCATTTATGTAATTCGATTGAATTAATTTTTTTAATATGAATAAATTAAGATATGATGTATACCTCAATGAATCAGCAACCCAACGACACAAACAATCAAGAACACATAGAGGGGAACGCATAGTCCTATAAAACAATAGACACGTGTCTAGATAATGTTTCAAGTTCTAAATCGTTCTGAACCTAAAAACAAAGGGAATAACTTAACAGAAAATAGCAAAGAAATTCCTTCGACACAAATTTGTTCTAATAAATAACTAAAGATATGACATAAGACAACCGGTGACGAGGTTTCTGAGATGGGACATACACATGATTATGTAGTGGGTAAAGCCGGTGGGTGCTAGGGGTTGTCTTGTTCTTGCAGAGAGGTGAGAGCTTTTTGTTCCTTGTTGAAGGCCTCTCTGAGACTTTGAGATGAAAAAAAGCGTTGTTCCTTTGCTTTTTGCGTGTTGCTGTGCATGTACTGATTTTGTGTCATGAATGGATACTCCATATCCTTTATCTTTCTATTAAGACTAGTTTTTTTGTGTTTTGTTTAGTTCACTTGGTCCCTAAATTCTTATGCTTCTAACATCCTTTGGCCTAGGTACACATAAGCATTACATATTGTTATCGTCTTCTATAAAATCGCCTATCCAATACAGTCCAAACTTGACAGTATTGACACATGGAAGATTTTCTACGAATTATTCCGATTTTGTGTCGATAGGAGGAGGAACATCGTCGCCACAGGCAACATCTGATTCTGATTGGTTATGTAAACTTCTGGGGATTTGTCATTCAAGACCCCTGCAAATGTAATGATTCTCATTTAGTGTTGATCGGTTTACAAACACAGCGTCATGCATGGCACATAGTTCCAGTGAAACCCTATGAATAAATCACATCTTATTCTTTTTTGTCTAATACAATACACTTGACCATTTTTAACAAACTTGGTAGAATGACGCATGGAAATATTTCTTCAAAGGGTCCTCATGTTTGTTTCAATCTGCGGAAAACAGGACTACCAGAGGCATTCTTTGACTCTGATTGACCGGTTTTTAAAAATCCTCTCCTCTGAAACTACAATGCGAAATGTTTTGAAACTTTTAGAATTGATGATTGGAAGTTTCTCTGTAAATTATTCTCATTTAATGTTGATCGATAAATAACTTTTTGTTTTGTTTTATTATTAGGCTGTTTTTTATTTCCTTTATTTTTCACTTAACTGTTTATTTTAATTGTTATTTTCTGTTTGTTTTCTATACACTGATAAAAATTAATGTGGGTTTGAGTGCTGAAAATAAACTACTTGTTGATGGACCTTTCCCCAAGTCAGGAACCTCGGCAGTGGCTATCTTTATCTTAAATAGGAGTGTTTTGTGTCCTTCAAAGAATTTTATACTGATGGCAGATCATTGGTGGTGTCTGTTTCATTTATTCACAATTTGACTTGAATTTGGACGACTTTAAAGAGCTTGACATATGATAAATACTCTAGCACATTCATTATCTGTTCACCTCTCGTTTTTTATTTTTTCAGTTGTTATTCTCCATTTATCAACCACTCTTTTTTTTACAATCGCAACCGAAACAGTACTCGTTCATTCATCTCGGGTTCGTTGTTTTACAGTCACCGAATGGGTTATTTTTACAACCGGCATGAGTAATATTAAGGGACTTGCAAAGGGTACCTATTCTAAGACCGATGAGAACCTCTTAAAAAGTAGCTTTCAAGAAAAAAGGGACTGAAGCAGAAACAATTTTAATAATCACAACAAAATCATAAGGTCTTTCCATTGGAATGTGGAAATACTTAAAAATGAAAGAAAGAAAAAAAAAAAAAAAAAGACCAGGCGAACAAGTCCACGGAGCATTTCACACTACCACGGCTGAGCGACAACGAACAAGAAAAAAAATTTAAAGACTAAATAGTTTTCTAACGAATCAATAACATGTATAAAGAAGACAATGAACACATATTTATATGTGCATGCCGCAAATTAAGTTATGAATTCGTCCAACCTTATGTAAAAAATATCCAGAAGTAGGGCGGCTCTCTGTGATTCAAGATGATTATAAAAAAATGACTTTTTTCCAAAAAAAAAACATTGCAGGATATATATGATGTTTTATCTTATATCTACAGATGTTGCGCAATGGGAGCTTGTATTTTGTTTTATAAATATCTGAAACATTCTAACATTCTGATTGTGCCTGTCCCAAGTCAGGAGCCGGTAATTCAGTGGTTGTCGTTTGTTGTTGTATGTCATATTTGTTTTTCGTTCATCGTTTTGTACATAAACCAGGCCGTTAATTTTCTCGTTCAAATTGTTTAACATTTGACATTTCGGGATCTTTTATAGCTGACTATGCGGTATGGGTTTTGCTCATTGTTGAAGGCCGTACGATAGCCTAAAGGTGTCTTCTAACCGCAAAAAAACAGCCAACAAAAAGTTACAGCACTCGAAGTTACTTAATGCGTTTTTGGTCAAATAGCTCTTCAACTTTTTCTGTTCTAATATATGCTTGATTTTCAAATATTCATCTGTTGGCGTTCCTGGTGAAACCAAATCCATAAAAGCGCTTCGTACGCATAACATTTATAACGTGTTGTTTTCATTTTTTTGTATGTAAATTTTCTTGTCCCTTTTCTGAAGTTTTTTCCCTTTATAGGTTCTTTTTCAAAAACAAGAGGATTATAAATTCGACATCTTAATACGCATGGCTCAAATACTGATTAACAAAGCAACTCCACCAACTCACAATGAACTAGAGTTTCTTTATATCTTATTCGATAAGACTTATTGCGCGCATTTATTTGCGTACTACTTATTAGTCAAAGAACGGTAACTGGTTTCCATATGTAAAAAAAAAATCGACTTTTCCAAAAACAAATATATGTGGCAATTTTCCTGAGTATATCTTCATGTCTTCTTCATTTAAACAAATGTTATTTGCTAATGAATTCACGAATTAACATATAAAAACAAAACAATATCTTTATTTTTCCGGCTTTAAGGAAATAATTGTTCGTTAGGGTGAACATTGTTAAGGTAAAAGGTTAACTACTTACCCTTCCGGATCACTTGAGATCACCTCCGGTGTTTTGAATACTATTGTTGTGTCTTTTGGTCGTTTTTCGATTTTTGCCATGGTGTTGTCAGTTTGCCATCGAGTTTTAAAACCCCTTAAGTATCTTCCGCCTTTTTAATTTTTATTAGCAAATTTAATTATACAACACCTGGTGTATATTAACCATACGAAGCACAAAGACGCATGCTTAGGGCCCTTGCTAGTAAACCAATTCCCATTTACCAGGGAAAATACAAAAGGGTGTCTATGTTCAAAGTTTATTTTGAAATAAAAGTCATATGAAACTTAAAATTTAAAAAAAAAGTTGAATATGTTTTATATACTTGAATGGCTAAGTTTTACTATAAAACAAGTGTACGGGAACTTTCTTGTAAAAAAAAATCCGTTATATTATAAAAATCTTCATCAATGTACTGCTATTGAATTATTGTCTTCCCGTACACTAGCCGATATTTTCCCGTATGCGATGACTTAAACTACATGACCTCTCGTTAGAACTTCGGCCATCGCACAGCGCAAGTGCATGCGAGGGGAAAACCGTGATGAAAGAATGTAACGAAACGTGCACTGGAAGGTAAGGGATCAACCATTTAACTTCAAAAGATTGGGGGGGGGGGGGGGGGGACGCTATCAATCAAATTATTTTTTTCAAAATTTAACACTATAAGATATGGGGAAAATCTGGATATAGAATATTTTTTTTGTCACATACTTGATCACAATATTTTTTCATATCAAATTGGAGATCAGAAAAAACCATAACACCCCCACCCTCCTTTTGAAGTTAAATGGCCGATCGTTCTGAAATAGTAATAACTGATTCTGAAAGAACTAATTAAATACACACAAACATTCAACAACTGTTAAAGAAAAGTTTAATTAACAAATGGAAACGCATGGAATATAAAAAAAAAGAAAATACACAACTATTTGCTTTTTAAAGTAAATTTTTGAATACTAGTACGTTATCTGTGCCGTGCAAAATGGTATAAATCAGAAAATAGCCCTTTGTTGTTTTTCAAATTAATCGTACCGGTTGAATGACTAGTATGTTAGGTCACACGTGCAAAAACGAATTGTGTGATGTTGAAAATGTGAAGGAAACTAATGGGGGGGGGGGGGGGGGGGTGAGTAAAAAATCATTACATCTTCATTGTATGTATTGTTCATGTTTATAAATAACACAATACACAACTAATTACCTAGCTTAAAGTGTTTGTATGATGTTTGAATATACGTCATCACCTAATTTACGTTTAATACATTAAAGCAAAATCTTGATTTCACGATTAACCACATCAACTATAACATTTGGACTTGAAAGTATCTTTCGTTGATATTTGACAACATTCCTATATTTAAAAATTACCCATTTTGTAGTTACAAGTACAGTATCATAATCTTCATTTTTACGCCACTTTTAATGTTCATACCAAGGAGAATATATTCTTTTCTGTTTTTTGTAAATTGGTAATATTTTTACCAGTACAAAATTTATTTGGCATATCACAAATTTCAATCCAAATTTCGTTAACTAATTTACAGAGTGC